TCTTGAACTGGCACAGTTTCAACTGCTTTGTCCGAAATTAGAACTATTCTTGTTTTGAACGAGTGAGGTTTGTTTAGTTGGCGTTGGACGCCTCCATTTCTAAAGATTGGTGGGGCTTTAAGTCCCATGAGATAAGTGGAGAATCACTGATGATCTTCCCGAGATAGAAGATAAAAGCTATGATGATCGGACTCTTGGAAAATGTTGTCACATACGTGTCAGGTCCTCTAGGAATGCATTTCTTTTGGAGGATCCAATACTCACGAAGCGGTACTTTTGGAGAGTTGAAGCAGCATAGGATAAAAAACCACTCTAGGTATGAACTTTGAATTTTTTACACACTTTTTGCTTTTCTTGAGCAAGCATTACTTATTTCTCCCTCTGTTTCACTTCATTTGTCTTACTTTCCGTTTTAGTCCATTTTAAAGAAAATGTTTCTTTCCTTTTTGACAACTCTTTACTTTTAACTGTTTTCATGATATGTTTAAGATCACAAAATTAAGCTCGTGTTGATACATTCTACATATCTGTAATTTAAAACCACATAATACGAAAATCTTCTTTACTTTCTTATATGATGTGTCTAAGTCAAAACCAGACAAACAAATTGAAACGAAGAGAGTAGTTGACTTCAGAATATGTATAAATGGATTGGGAGCACCAAACAATCTTGTGTTATTAAACAAAAGGAGGAAACACTCCAATTCATTTAGCCTAAACCTTCAACTGGTGAATCAATTTACAATATGATCTGAAGAAAAGAACACCCTCATGGACAATTCTATCAACTTTCCTTCCCCACAGCTTGTAGTAGTATAAGCAATTGAAGGAAGTAATATGACACACCTCCTATAGTGGCATATTGTAACTTTTCAGTCCCTTCTACTGCTGGGAAATCGCTATCAGAAGCGCGGTTAAATCCACCTGCTAACCATGCCAAATTCCTGTATTCTCCTTCATGTAACTTTGAAATAGCCATCAAAGACCTACAAATACAGCCATAACGTTCAGACTTGTCCAAGATATATCTGAAACTAATGCACATTGGCAGAACATGTAATGATCTATAGTTGTAACAACAGAGAAATACTAACATTATAGTAAACAAAATTAGAGCTGTTGTTCATGAGAGGAGGATTGTCCAAGCCCATATAAAGAGGCCACCAGTCTGGGAAGCCCAAACGAGGATGGACCTGACTCTGATACTACTTGGGCCTAACTCATCGCCAAAAGCTAGCTCACAAGGAAATGATTGCCCAAAGCCTTACAAGGAGACGACCAATCCATTCCCCAACCAATGTAGGACTTTTACCCCACTCTAACAGGAATACTTGCGATTCCTACATCCTTAGATTTTTTCGAGTTAGGTTCCTAAAAATGAATACGCGAATAAAATGATCTTTTCAGATATCTTATTTGTAAAAATGAAAGATCTTTTATAAAAAACAAATTCTCCCGTAAACTTCATACATAGCCATTTATCAGCCGTTGTAATTGAAAATAAGCACGGAGTTTTGAAATTTCACAGGCGAAACTCGAAAACTAAGATCAAAAAGTGATCAGCGAGCGTTATTTCTACGAAAACAACAACTTGATGAATTACATTACTAACCTTAGTCCTTCACCACAAGCCACAAGGACCTTAGCATTATCCTTATCAGGAATTTTCTGCTCAACTTGCTTAACAAATTCATCATTGATCATAGTGAAATTCTGTCCAGTCCACAGCCCAATATAACCAAAATGCACCCATTTCTTCAACAGAGTAATGGGGCTATTATCCATGTCTTTCAAAAAGAGGGGCACGTGTAATGAACCCGAAACACACGCCTTCTCTCTCTCCCACTCCGGCCTAATGTCAAGCAAAATATATCCTTCCCCTTCCATCGCTGTACCTGCGAGAGGCGAAGCCAGGGTCTCAACTTTCTTGTATTATAAATTTGATAAATTTTCAAATATAAATATACAGTTCGAAGAATTTGTTATAGTAGTGTACCTGCTTCTTTGGGTAATACAGGACGGACTTTACCGGACTGTATTAGCTGCTGTGCATTGGGGGAAACTGCACTGATTCTGAGAATTGTTGAACGTTGATGAGGGATGGTGGAAAATGATGGGAATTGGAGGTGTTTGTTGTGTTTTAAAATGGAGGATTGTAGTTGAATTAATGCCATTTTTTTTTCTTATTTCTTGCTTGTTTGCTTTTTCAGTCCTGATTCTACACCTTATCCTGCAAGAATTTGTTTAGTTTGGACTTTACCTTATCATGTTTGATTTTTTTTTTTCCTTTTATATATTCTATCACCAGAGAGATGAATCTATAAGGACAATAATGACTATAAAGGGGGAGGAATGTGACATTTAGCTTGGTCTTAAAGGCATATTTATATTATTTAATTTTTTGATGTGTATAAGTGAGCATTTTAAATTTATATAGAGCTGGATAAGTAGATTTATGAATCTTGTTTGTGTTATTTGCGAAAGTATTCTATGTGGCGTCTTAATGTATTTTATACAAATTCAAATATCTATTTGAACACATTCAAAATTAAATGACATATTTATATATTAACCATTAATAATTGTTAATAATTAAAAGTTTTAAGTTTTAAGTTCTATTGTTGAAAATAAAGTAATCTTTTGATTTAAAAGACCTTTTATCCTTAAGTGGAAAATGTTAGTACAAATTCAAAATAACGATCTATAAATTATGTAACTTTGGTTCGAACTAGATATTATTTAATTTGGACAGATAATCTATTGAAAATCTAATTTGGACAACTTTTAGATTATTTTCTCTTTTACCATAGTTTACATGCACATATGGTATTTAGGGGTTTGGTTTGGTTAGTGCTAGAGCCGTCAATATGGGCTAAGTCCGTTGGGTCGATCTTACCTAATTCGGGATTTAATAGGATTGACTAAGATTTTTGGAGCCTATTTACAAAAGGGTTTTTTAGCCCGACCTGAATAAGTCTGTCGATTTCTGGGCTTAAGAAATATCATTAGGGCTAGATCGTGGGCTAATAAAAATTAATTTAAAAATATAATATAATATAAAAATTTAAAATTAAAGAGAGTCCAAACTCAAAACAATTAGATAAATATTTCTATTTAGATACTTATACTTTTACTTGAATTTTTTTTAATAAATATTGTAAAGATAATTTTATTTGTGAATTTGATTAACAAGTAGAAACATTATCATCATGTAATATTGTTTTGTCATAATATTTTTAAATTATAATTTAATTTAATAATTATAAAAAATATAACTTTTAAAAAAGTGAACTGACCCGACAAACCTGTAACCCACGTATTTGTGGATTGGACCGACTGTTTTCTAGCCCACACCATAAATGGGCTAGCATGTAAAATGTCAAAATCTGTATAAGTTAGCCCAAATAAAGTGAGCTAAGCAAATATTAACAGCTCTAATTATTGAAACTATAACGTCACACCTACAAATTAAGCATTCTATCATAATTTATAACTAACCTGAGAAGATAATCCAAAGATAGGATAGAATCTTAGAGAAGAGTATTCTTCCTTTCCATTAAAGATTCTATATTTAATAAGATATCCAAAACTTGGGAAGGAACTCTCCCCATTCTAATATGTACAAACTTAAATTAGGAATGAGATCAATGTTCATCTAAACCCTTGCAACATGTTGACAATAGGAGAGTAAATATATTAATATATCATTTGAACTATTAGAAATTACGTTCTAAAGTCATTAAACTTTATTTTATACTAATGTCACTTTAAGTTAAAGTTTTTTCTTTTATACAGATTCAATCAAATTCATATTCAAAAAATTTACTTTATACCCCCTTTAAGAAAAAAAAAGTATTTTGAATTTGTGGTCTTAAATTTGTCATGAAGGATAGTAAAAATAAAAATTTACTCATTCTATCTTAATTTATGTGACACTTTTCATTTTTTAGAATCAAATAGTTTAAATTTGATCTTCAATTTTTTTGAAGCGAAACTTTATATATTTGAAGTGGATCTTTAATTTATGTGATGTAGTTTGACTAATACCGCCACTTCAGTATAAATAATATGAAAAGATTTTCCAATATTTCAAAACTACCTTTAATATAAGTGAATTTTAAAATAAAATTGTACACTTTTTTGATTTTTTTTAATCAAATAAGGGTGATCTAGTAGTAATATTGATAGTGCTATTAAATATTTGTCAAATAAAATGTTTTAAAGTTATGATCTTTTTGAACTAAAGAGGCATATACTTCCTCCGTCTAGTATTGTTTGTCATTATTTCTATTTTTAGAGTTAAACTATAAAAATTTTGATTTATATTTTAAGATGCATTTTTTCATCATATTAATATGCAAAAAATTGTAATTTATAGTACTTTTCATATAGTTTTAGAATATCTAATTTTTTTTGTTTAAAATATTGAATTAATGTAATCTAATTTATCTTTAAAAATTAATTAAATTAATTTTCGATTAGCGCAACATGACAAACATTTTCGAATGGAGGGAGTAATAAAGAAAAAAGAAAAAAGGCATATTAGTTTTTATGTGACTATTGTTTCTGTTCTTTTTTTTTTCCTTTTGTTTCTCTCATTTATTTGCTTCTCTTTTAGTTGAGACTTCAGAATTTTGGATCTACGTTAAAATTCCAACTTCCAATAAATAATAAAATTTAGGATGAAACATAACATATTTTATTTGAAATAAAAGGAACTATAGTTATGCAAAGCCTAATATAATCTGGTGAAAAAATAAATTCCAAAATTACGCAAGTTTTTTTTTTTAAATTAATTACTATTTTCTGCTTTAAAAAAAATAGATTTTTGGTCAATCTTCTTACAAATCTAACAAAATATTCGGCTAAATATATACTCAAGTTTAAATAGAAAAAAAGATAATTTTATCATTTTACAAATGCGACAAAATATAATTAAAGTGGTCAAAAAACTATATTTTCACATAAAACATTTTAGCAAAAATAACTCAACTCTGTCCAAATTCAGTTTAATTTTTTCTCTCTCATTAAATCTGTATATTTAAAGATCAGTTTTTTCTCTGATCTTCTTTTTAACTTTTTGCTGAAGATCTCACCATAATTTTTATTTTTTTTTAAAAATGTCATCTATTTCTTCAAATCCGAAAACTGTAGAAGAGATCTTCAAAGATTATAGCTCTCGTCGTTCTGGAATAGTTCGAGCTTTAACACACGGTACTTCGTTTACTTTTTTAATTTATTTTTCTGTTGGAATTTGTCTAAAAAATTGATTTTGATTTGTTTCAGATGTGGATGAATTCTATAATTTATGCGATCCAGGTAATTTGAAGTTAGTTTATGTTTAGATTGGTTGATTTGCTGGTTGAGTTTTGAATTGCATGAGTTTTTTTTTTTGTTTATTGTGTGGATTTGAGTTTGCTTTAGTTAGTATTGGAATGAAATGGAGTTGGTTAAAGTGGAATGAAACAGGAGATTAGTAGAATCAGCTCCAATTAATTTGGAATTGAGGGATATTTGATTGTTTTTTCCGCATTTTCAGTTTACGCCTGTGTGTTTTGTTTCGTTTTTGAACTGAATTTTCAGATTGGATTTGGGTTAATGTTAAATTAACTGTGGATGAACTACTACTGTTGAAATGAAAATGACAAGAAATTGGTTTGCTTGGAAAATATTTGAAATGCTAACATTAGTATTTTGATAGTTGAGAAATTTGGTGTTTCGAAACTCAGAAAATAATGGGCTTACTTTGCTACAAAATGTAACAAAAATTGGATTTTTAAAAGGTTTTACTTGGCCTGTGCCCTGTGGCTTATTTAGATTTTGTAAATTTAGAAAAAAATACTTTTGTGTCCTGAGTTTTTTGATTGATTGTTGTGTGATTTTTTTTTATTACGTGGGTGTAGAGAAAGAAAATTTGTGCCTATATGGACATCCGAATGAGACCTGGGAAGTCAATCTTCCTGCTGAAGAAGTCCCACCTGAGCTACCAGAGCCAGCACTAGGGATAAATTTTGCGAGGGATGGGATGAATCGGAGAGATTGGCTTTCATTGGTTGCTGTGCACAGTGATTGTTGGTTGCTTTCTGTGGCATTCTTTTTTGGAACTCGTCTTAACCAAAATGAAAGGTACTCTTATTGTTGGTTGGAATTAGGATAAATTGTTCTACACAGAAATGCAAAACGATTTTATGAAATGCAGGCACACTCCACTGTTTCTCTTTGTCTAGCTGCAATCTACCTGATCTCTCTCTTTAGTGTAGTACAAACTACAGTAATATTTTGTTGATTCTTAAAAGAGGAAATTGGTTACTTTTTCTGTATGGTTTATCTCTCTGTGACTCCCCAATGTTTCCTGCTTTTCCTTGGTTGTCTCATGCTAAGAAATTTGATAGTTCTTTTATCAAATATGTAAGTAAAGTTGCTAAATGGATAAAATTGAATGTTTTAGTTGTTAAAGGAACTGACTTTAGCAGGGTGTATGTCCCAAAATCCTGCTCTAAGATTTGTTTTTGGTGCTGCGTGTCTTTGGAGTATTCATTAATAATCAACTATGCCTTAATCCCAAACAAGTTGGTCTAGCAATTTGAATCCTCTTTATATTTCGTTCTATTTGAGCTTATTTTGTTTCAACAGTGGTGAGTAGTATGTATTTTAATCCTTAGGGTTCTGTAAATCTCACACTTACCTCAAATTGTTCACTGCCCAGCCCTAGTAAAAGTTATATAGGCTCTCCTTAGACATATGTAGCTTTCTTCAGATATCCTAAATCAGAGAACTCTAAGCAAGACTTGGTGCGAGGAATCTATGGCATTTGCTTTATGCACGAATAAGTTACATGAGTGTGCAGGATAGGATAGCAACATTTTCAGTGTTGATGTGGCTAGCAACATAAAACGAATTGGCCGAGTTGAAGTTAGAAATTCCCTTTTGTTTATTTAGGGCTTCTACTAGGCACGAAGTTGATGATCAAAGGACTTGGCAAGGAGTTTTAGATAGATGTGCTAAGAAACTAGACCCCAGAAAAACAGTGTCTATTCTTTCTAGGAAGGCTCACTTTAATCAATACTGTATTGGATAGAATTCCTACATCTTTGATGTCACTATTTCCCATTCTTAGCTGTGTTGAAAAGGCCATGAGAAGTCAGTTTCGTTGGGAAGGAAATTTTGAATGGAAAATGTATCATTTTGTAAAGTAGCAGAAAGTTTTCAAGGACAAGAAAAGTGATGGTTTGGGAGTTAAAAATCTAAAACTTCATAACAAGAGTTTGTTATTGAAATGCTTGTGGAGGTATAATGAAAATGCAGCTGAAATGAGGAAGCAACTTATCTATGGTATATGGTAAAGAAGTATGTTGGACACCCTGAGCAGTGTCCATGCCTTCAAAAACTGGATTATCAGAGAACATATGTTGATTATGGCGTAAATTTTTGAAATTCTTTTATGAAGGTTGGAAATTGGTGTTTGAATCAAATTCTTAACATATTTTTGTTTGGAGATGATAAACAAATGAAAAGAATTTCCTACATTCTGTAGTTTAAGAAGGAATAAACAGTGTAGACTAGCAAGTGTGTGTAGAGTGGCATACATAGGAATAATTTAGATCCAGTTTCAGGACAAACTTTCATGATTCGAAGTTCTCGAAATTGGTCAATTTCTACATTAGGTGGCTTAAATCGTTGGTGCTAGTAGGTTGAATTCTCAGGTTTGGGAAGATAGTTGTTATAGTCTATTGCTAAAGAAATTATGTTACTGGGATTTCATTTGACCATCAAAGATGTAATGGAAATCTCAAACGCACCCTCTGAAGTAGGTTGTTTTTTTTGGATTACAGCTAGAAATGCATGTTTAACTCAAGGTATGTTGAAGATAGGGGAATTCCTTTGTGCAATAGATGCTTCTTCCATGAAAATTCTCAGTATTCTGCAGAAAATTTGCTTTTGCATTGCAGTCATACAAAACATTTATGGGATCTATTCATGAATATGAGTGGTGAAAGACCTATTTTTGTTGGTAGAATAAAAAATCAGGAATAATCCTTTTTTTTTTTGCAACTTTTGGACCATTTGGTTGGAAATAAGTACGAGACGTTTTGAGAATCAGAAGAATCATTTAGCTATTGTAGAATATAGATGTCTTCAAAATCCATACTTTTGGCGTAGGGGAAATATTAGGCTTAGTTCAGTACGCAGATTTTATAGAAGTTTTAGGATTGTAACAGATATAGCTTACTGTCGTTTGTATGCTTTCACTACCTCCTTTTGTACTACTGTAGCAAAATTTACATTTCCTTACTTTAAAAAAATAAATAGAAATCTATCCATGAGTCCCTGTTAAGAACAAACCTTTACCCCTTAACATTTTGCTGTATGTTTTATTTTTTGTGATTACCATCTCATTGTTCAGTAATTTTATCTGTGCTTTAGAGTCACTGGAGATTGTTGTAAGTTCTTTTGTTCATATATCGACTATCTTTATGGAGATAGTTTTCTTTTGTGGACATGTTATATGTGCTACTGCTTCTTATTGTATTTGCTTTCTCTATGGCTACTCTACTATGGGCTTCTGTCGTGACCATGAAAAGGGATGATTTCTGAAATGATGGCCATGTTATTTGAAATTGTATATTTTTCCTGTAGATGGAGGACATGAAATGAGAGACATTTCTCATAATGCAGCTTTAAACGTGCAAATTTGTCCTTCTTTGTCTTGTCTAGTTCGTCCCTGCTAGAGTCTGTAGCTCCATAGGCTTGTGTTAGCTGATGCATTACATTAATTTTAGATTTAGAAAAATATAGTGATGTTACAATTTTCTATATTCGATCTATGTGCTTCAATAAATAGCATAAAACTTAGATTTAGAAAAATATAGTGATGTTAGAATTTTCTATATTCGATTTATGTGCTTCAATAGATAACATAACATATTCTTATGAATTATGTCATAATTAGGATCTCCATAATTAGGTAGCTTTCCTTATCTCATGTAGTACCTTAGTTCCTAGTAGCCTAAAATGGAGCCCTCCTGTATATTGTCTATCAACAATTCAAGACAAGTTCTCTCTTTCTATCCCCTGTTTTTCACATCATGTAAGAGGTTCTACGCTCTTACTAGAGACCCAAGTAGCTACATCCAAGTGTCGAAATGCACCATCGCCGAGAGTAAGTTGAGCTATGGAAATCCTCTGAGAGAAGGAACACTTTTCTAAGCGAAGAAAACAGTGTGGTCTAGTGGTCAACAAATTGGGTGCAAATATAGAAGGGACAGTATTGTTATATATTTGGAAAAAAAAATAGAGCTAAATAGCTTGCCCCTACTGGTGGGCAGTCTTATGCCATCTACCCAGCCAAAAAGTTTCCTCAACTCTATTTTACGTTTCTTTTCTTTTTCTGGTGAACATCTCCTGATCCCGGCATGACTGGTTCTTCCAACTACTTTTCCAGCTTTGTTCCATCTTTCTCTAGCAAAACATTTTCTGGAATTACTTCTTCGTTTCTTTCTTCTTAGTGATATTATAGTCTGGTTTAATGGGTTATATGCCTTTTCTCTGAACATTAAGGTCGTATTCCTTTCTTTTACTCAATGGCTTTAAGTTTGGTAATGAGATCCTCTTCTAAACCTTGAATTTCTGATCTTTGTTCCGTATATGCAAATTACCATCAACAAAAGCATGTGAAGAATTCCAGCATCACTTCTATTTACAGTCATTTGTTCACTATTCTGGTAATACTATGTTATTGTCCGACTACCAAATTTTTTGATATTATTGCAGTGATGTTATTCTGAAGATGATATGATTTAAGAATAACTTTTTCGGTCATATTCAACTTGGTATATATCTCAATTTCGTTTTGCAAACTCAAGTTGCTTAGCTACTCTAAGTTTAAAGGGCATGTAAAAGTCAAGAAAATTGATTTAGTTATATCTTAGAATATTCTGGATACATTCTATGTGTTTAGCTTAATAGTATCATATATTCTGCCTAAACTTTGTGGTCTTAAACACGCCATATCATTTGTATGGCCATAAGTCATTTGAAAGCACATATAAGGGATTACCGGCTCCACTAAGTGGTAACACAATGTACAGAGTTTGACGGTCTTACACATGCCATTACATTTGTGAGTCTATAATAGATTATCATTAAGAATAACAGTGGGAAGTTTGAGTTGAATTGTTTCCAAATTTAGAAAGAGGTTGTTGTTTTATTTATAGATTAAAAGGAAATAGGGTAATATAATCTGGAGTAGTGGGAACAACTTTTTTACAAGTGGCCTTTCTATGCATCTTTTTCTGCAGCCAATTCAAGACAACTTGTCTCTACCGCTTTATTTTTGTAGGTTGGCTACTGTCGGGCTAAAAATCCAGTTGTATTAGTTCTTATGTTTACTCAATGAGTGTTTGGATTAGTATCTATTACGAAGTTTATCACCTAGCTTCTGCTATTCGACAAAAGTAATGTGCTTTATCAATCCTTAAGAACTAAAAAGGAATTATTCTGGTTTGCAATTTTTGCTTCTTGTGTAGGAAGCGTCTATTCAGCATGATCAATGAACTTCCAACAGCTTTTGAAATTGTGGCTGAAAGAAAGCATGTAAAAGAGAAGCCCACTGCTGATAGTGGAAGCAAATCTCGTGGTAGTACGAAGGTATTACTTTCTCTCTGTTATATTAGTGCCTCTTGTATTAATATGCTTACTGTAAAATCTTCAGATTATTAATGCTTGCGATTAAGACCATTAAACTCTAAATATTGTTTCTCTTACTGCATTTAACATTTGTGTATTCTTCCTCCCCGGGCACTAAAACTCTTGCACTTACGTTCTGTAGAAATCTAGTGACAGTCAGGCCAAAAGCACACCAAAGCTTGCAGATGAAAGTTACCCGGAGGAAGAAGAACATGGTGAGACACTCTGCGGCAGCTGTGGTGGGAATTATAGTGCTGATGAATTCTGGATCGGCTGCGACATCTGTGAGAGGTGGTTCCATGGAAAGTGTGTTAAGATAACACCTGCTAAAGCTGAGAGTATAAAGCAATATAAATGCCCGTCGTGCAGCTTGAAGCGTAGCAGAGTACAGTAGCTAATTCATGAGAGCCGTAAGTGCTGTTGCTCTGACCATTAACAGAATAGTATAGCAATCTTACATTTGTGATTGATATTCTATTGTGATGTTTCCTTACATGACTCTTGGGAAGGAAATGTAATTTTACTTTCTTCTGTTAATCCATGTTTGGATGTTATTAGCCCCATATATAGAAAAACTTTTCAAGTTATTGTAAAGGTTCCTATATGGTTTTGTATATGAATAAACTAATTGATGTTTTTAGATTTTTGAAATGGTGTGTCAGCTAAATGCTTTTGAGATCTAGCTTGTAGCCAGCCTGGTGTATGGGAAGAGCTCAGAGGCTATGCAAGCATGGTTCAATGGCCCTTGATTGGGATAGGACATTACACTGCTGTTTTGTGAGGAGGATACAAATATAATGTGTCGGGTAAACGTTTTGAATCCTCTCAAGATAATGTGTCTCTCAAACGGGTAAACGTTCTAAGACCTCTCAAGATAATGTGTCTCCCAAACTGGCAAACCTTATAGTTTGTCTGCTTAGGATTAAAAAGATTCTAAAAAAAATAAAATTAGTGTTTCTTTTAGATTTCAAACATTGCATTAATCAATCTCCGTAGTGAAACAAAACAACACTGTTTCAATATGATTATATCAACTTATCTAATTTTTTAAACTTTGCATTGTTAATATTCTTGCTTCATAAATCATAATCTATAAATATCAGAGTCTTTCCTCGAAAATTAATTGTTAAAACTAATTTGTTATATAATTGATAATTAATGGTTTCATATCTAAAAAAAAATAATTAAAAATAAATTATATCTAACATTTTTTTTGAATTGAGACTCAGCATTTCATCTCATGTGAGTTTCCATAGAATACAAATCGAATCACAACACTATAGCAAATGGCTGTGTTAAAGTCAAAAACACATATTTTTATATGCATGTATGTATATATAATAACATATTAAGAAAAAGAAAGTGTAAGTTGTAAAAAAGTCGATACAATTTAATCAGTTTGACTATAAGTAAAAAAATATCACAAACACATTTATATCTAATCAGATAAATAAGTTTAATCAATAAATATATTTTAAAAAATATATTTCTTCATATTAAACTCAATTAAGCACATGGTAAATGGTTGGATGTTGAATTGCCCATGTGTTTGGTTTGTCTAAAATTAATTTTTTTAATTAAAATGAAGTTGTCCAAAAGTGAATTAGACATTTGTTATCATTTCAACCTGGCAACTTATATATATATAGTACACCTAATTTTCAACCACAGGTATAATAAAATTTTATATAATTAGTTTGATGTTTTTCTTTAGTTTGACTTTGCAACTTATATATTCACCCGACAATAATTCTTCACTATTGAAACATTTTTTAAAAAATTATAAATAATAAAAGAAATATTACTATTTTATCATTTTATTTTATTAAATTTCAATAATTTAAGTAATGTGTTAAACAAAGATAAAATGTGCACAAAAATAAATTATTTATTAATTTTTAAAACTGAACAAACATTGCTAGACAACTATTTATAATACCGTATTATAGAGTAAGAAAAAAAATGTAACATACAAACTACATTACTTCAACTCAAACTCGTAGATGTGTTTGATATGCTACTAGTGAGTACTGTCCCTACATGTCTTCAACATTATAATATATTTTCTTGCTTGGAAAATAATTGGATCTTATCCTAAGGTGATAATGATCACGTGGTTAAAACTAGAATTAATTTCTTATTATATATATGTTGAGTTGAGTGTAATAAACGCATAGTTATAATGTATTATACAAATGAGAGAGATTGACCAAAAAAGATTCACTTTCTAATATTTAAATGGCGTATATTTTGATTAATATTTTAGATTATAAATTTTTTTATGTTAATATAAAAGAAATTGTAATTTATTATATTTATGGTATACTTTTTAAATGTAATCATATATTTGATAAAAAAATTAGTATTGGATATCCCCGCCTTCTATAACCTTAGTTACATTATAACAAGAACATATAACAGAATTAGCTATGGAATTTATAGGCAATTCCTTGCTGATCCGTCGCTAAAAGACACTTAGCTAATTGAATTTTCTTATAAAATTTATCGCTAACCCGTTGTTAAAGAGGATTAGAATGAGATTTTATAGTTTAGCTATATACAAGATTTTGCCCATTGCTAAGTCCGCATTTTCTAAGTAATACCTCTTTTTGAGCCAGTTGAGTTCAGCGCCTAGATGTAATAATATATTTATATAGAATTAAAGCATGACACAATAAGTCATATATTTGTAAACTAAATGTTAAAAAACTGTCATTTTTTAGGTTGACTTTAAAGAAAAAATTATCACATAAATTGAAACAGAGAATATAAAAAATCAATATTTCAGGGAAAATATAAATCTATATATATATTGAAATTCCTTTATAAAGAAGCTGAATTTAGCAAAAACACGACATGATGGAAATATCAAATCAAAATTATGCAATACTTAAACGGGCCTATAGCTAGACATTAAAAAAAGAATGTAATTATTTATCTTGGTGATTTCAGTGATTCAACTTGAGATTTTCCACAAGGACCCTTTGTTCTAATAAAAGCTCGATACTCGTTGAACGTCATCGGTAAATATAACGCCGGACGCTCCTCCGTCACGAGTTCATCTGCAGGTTTAATGAGGATGTCACCTCCTGGATTGTAGAAGAACGCTAAAGAAACACGTTCTTTAGCAGAATTAACAATCACACGATGCTCTATACTCTTGTATATTGCGTTGCTTAATACCTGTAAAATGTACAACATAAAATGTGAACAAAAAAAAAAGTAACTTGAGCATAAACCGGGCCCTAAATCATCACTCTACTATCTTCATACTCGTTTCGTGAAACACCCAATATTATCATGAAAGGGTACGTTACACTAGAAAATGAGTAATATTTTTTTTTCTACCTAGCTATATATATATATATAA